CCGCACCACGGCGAAAGACGACTACCGCGATCACTCCTACCACTACGACGACGACGACGACGACTACTACTACTACTACGACTACTACTACTACTACTACTAATAATAATACGGCTGGGTATCATACTACAACAACTACTACTACTACGACGACGAAGAAGACGACTACTACTACTACTGCTACTACAACTGATGCAGCTTCTGGCGCTGCTACTTCGCTTGCTACGAAAACGATTACAAATGCTACCGCTACGACTACAACTACGCCTACCCCTACTACTAGTACCGCTACTACGCCTAGTATCACTACTACTACAACCGCAATTACCTGGACAACTACTACTAGCACAAAGACCGCGACTACTACTACTAGTACTACGATTACTACTACTACTACTACTACTACTACTACTACTACTACTACTACGACTACTTCCACTACCACCTAGACTGCCACCACTACCACGACAATACTACTACTACTACTACCACTACTACCACTACTACTACTACTATTACTACTACTACTACTACTACGACTACTACTACTACTAATCCTACTACTACTACTACTACTACTACTGCTACTATAACTATTTCTACCACCGCTACCACTACTACTACTACTACTACTACTACTACTACTACTACTACTACTACTACTACTACTACTACTACTACTACTACTACTACTACTACCTACTACTACTACCACTACTACTACTACTACTGCTGCTACTACTGTTGCTACTACTACCACTACTACTACTACCACGACTGCCATTACTAGTTCTTCTACTCTGACTACTGCAACTACAAATGCTACTACTACGACTACCACAACTACGACTACCAACCCCACAACAAGTACTAATCCAACGACTACTACAAATGCTACTACTACTACTACTACTACTACTGCTACTACCAGTACTGCTACGACTACGACTACTGGTACGACTGCTGTTTCTACTAGTACTATTACCACGATTACGACTACTGCGACTACCACTAATACTACCACTAATACTACTACTACTACTACTACTACGACAATTACTACTACTACTACTACTACTACTACTATTACTACTACTACTTCTGCTACTGCCACTACGACGACTACTACTTGTATTACTTCTACTACGACTACTTCTACTACGACTACGCCTCCTTCTACAATGGCGACTGCCAATTGTACTACTACTACTACTACAACTACTACTCCTACTACTACTACTACTACTACTACTATTACTACGCCTACTGCTACTACTCCTGCTACAACTGCTACTCCTACTGCTACTACGCTTGCTACTCCTGCGACCCATGGAACCACAACTATTACAACTACTAGTGCTACTACTACTACGACTACTACTACTGCTACTACAACAACTACTACTAGTACAGTGATAGTACTACGGCTACTCGTACGGCTACAGCTACTACAACTACTACGATTACTGCGAGTACTACTACTACTACTACTACTACTACTACTACTACTACTACTTTACTACGACTACTACGACGACTACTACTACTACCACGAGGGCGGCAACGACGCCGACTAAAACGACCACGACCGTTTACTACTAACACTATTACTACTACTGCAAGTACGACTACTTCTCGAACGTCTACGACTATTACTGATACTACTTCTACCAGAAATATCGAAAACTACGAATACTACTCCTCGACCTACTAGTACTACTTTCCCTACTGCTACTACTGCTGCTAGTGCTACTAATCGTGCGAATACTACTACTACTACTACTACTACTACTGCTACTACTACTCCGACTACGATGACCACGACTACTACCACTACTACTACTACTACTACTACTACTACTACTACTGCTACTACTACTACTACTATCACTACTACTACTACTACTAATACTCCGTTTCCTACTAGTACTACTACTACTACTACTACTACTCCTACTCCTACTCCTACTACTACTACTACTACTACTACTACTACTACTACTACTACTACTACTACTACTACTACTACTACTACTACTACTACTACTATGAGTATTAATATCACGACTACTGGCACGACTACGGCTACGACGACGACTATGAGTACTACTACGCCCACTACTACTACTGCTCCTACCACTACTACTACTACTACAACCACCACTCCTACTGCTACGCATACATCTACTGCTACGCTTACTGTTTCTACTACTACTACTACTACTACTACTACTACTACTGCTGCTGCTTCTGCTGGTGCTGCTACTGCTGCTGCTGCTGCTAGCTGCTGCCGCTGGTGCTTCTGCCGCTGCTGCTCGTACCGCCTCTACCACTACTACTACTACTACTACTACTACTACTACTACTACTACTACTACGACTACTACTACTACTACTACTACTACTACTACTACTGCTACTTACTACGACTTCTTCTACTACTACTACTACTACTACTACAACTACTGCTACTACGGCTGCTACTACTACCTGCGCTACCACCATTACCGCTAACATCACTACCACTACATCTACCACTACAACTACGAATACGACTACTTCTGCGACTACTACTTCGACAAGGGCAACGACTACGACGACTACCACTACTACTGCCACTACTACGGCTGCTACTACTACTACGACTACTACTACTACTATTACTACTACTACTACGACTACTACTACGACTACTACTACTACTGCTACTACTACTACACCTGCCAAATTACTACTACTACCAGTACTACTACGACTACTACGACTACTACGACTACGACTACGACTACGACTACTACTACTACTACTACTAGTACTACTACTACTGGTTTCACGACAACTATAAAATACTACTATGACCACTACAACAACTACTACTACCACTACAACTACTACTACTACTACAACCACTACTATCACTCCAACTACTACTACTACTACTACTACTACTACTACTTCTACTACTACTACTACTACGACTACTACTACTACTACTATTACTACTACTACGACGACTACCACGACTACTACTACTACTATTTCTACTCCTCTTACTACGCCGGCTACTACTACAATTACCACTACCACAACTACCACTACCACCACCACCAATACTACTACTACTACTACTACTACTACTACTACTACTACGACGACGACTATTACTACTACTAGTCCTACTACTAGTCCTACTACTACGACATGTACGGCTACGACTACGACCACTACTACCACTACTAAAACTACGACTACTACTACCACTACTACTACTACTACTACTACTACTACTACTACTACTACTACTACTACTACTACTACTACTACGACTACTACTACTACTACTCTTACTACTACTACTACTACTACTACTACTACTACTACTACTACTACTACTACTACTACTACTACTACTACTACTACTACTACTACTACTACTACTACTACTACTACTACTACTACTACTACTACTACGCACTCGTACTATTACTACGACTACGACTACGACCACGACAACAACTACTAGTTCCACTAGTACGATTACTATTCGTACAACTACTACTACTATGACTACTATGACGAATACTACTATTACTACAACGATTACTGCCATAACTACTACTATGAAGACTACAAGTACAATGTCTAGTACTACAGCTACTACCACTGCTGCTGCTACTACTCTTGCTGCTGCTGCTACTGCTAATGCGACTTGCTACTACTACTGCTACTCCCTACAAATACTACTACGACTACTATCACGGCTACTTCGACTACGACTACTACGAATACTACTATTACTATTACTATGACTACTGCCACTACTTTCGTTTTTGTTCCTACTACTACTACTTTCTTTGATGTTACTGCTCTGCTACTACCACTACTACTACTTCTACGACTACTACTACTACTACTACTACTACTACTACTACTACTACTACTACTACTACTACTACTACTACTACTTTTACCACGGCGACTACTACGACTACTACTACGACGATTCCTACTATTACTACTGCTACTACTACGACGACGACTACCACTACTACTTCTACTACTACTTTTTCTTCTACTACTACTACTACTACTACTACTACTACTACTACTACTACTACTACTACTACTACTACTACTCATACTACTAATACTACTAATACTACTAGTACGACTACGACTACGGCTACGGCTACGGCTACGGCTACGACTACGACTACGCCTACGACTACGACTACGACTACGACTGCGACTGCGACTACGACAACGACTACGACTACTACTACTACTACTACTACTACTACTACTACGCTACTACTACTACTACTACTACTACTACTACTACTACTACTACTACTACTACTACTACTACTACTACTACTACTACTACTACTACTACTACTACTACTACTACTACTACTACTACTACTACTACTACTACTACTACTACTACTACTACTACTACTACTACTACGACTACTACTACTACTACGATGCTTACTACCACTACTACTACCACTTCTACTACTACTTCTTCTTCTTCTACTATTACAACGACTTGCGAGGAGGTGAAGGCGAAGGGGGGGACGAACTTCATTGCCACACGATAGCTCAGGGGGGGTGGCCGACCCGGGCAGCATGGAAGCCCCATGGCTGTTACGCGTCGCCGAGCTTCCCCAGGACCCGCCTTACATCTCCTGGGCGTTTCTTTTCGCACGGCCCCAGGGGGCCCAGGCAGGGCCCCACGGGCCCGCCGTTCCTCGGGACATGCCTGCTGCAAGGGCGAAGAGGGGGCCTGCCTGGGACTCCGGGGGCCAGCGCCCGCCTGGTCCGCCTCCGTGCCGGGCTGACCCAAGGGGCCCGCCTGGGCGGAGCGCGCACGCTGGGCGCGACGGGACGTGCCTCTCTTGCGGCTCGAAGGCCGAGCCCTCGCAGGTCGGGGCCGAGCGAGTCTGAGCGGCAAGCGGCACGTCGGAGCCCCCGGGGCCGGCTGAGCCGTGCGCCCGCAGCGCCGCAGCGGCCTCTGCGCCCTTCTCGCATGCGCTTATCAGCGCATTGCAGGCCACCGCGTTGGGGGGCACGTCCTGCGCGCACGGTCGCAGTGAAAGCAACTGTGAAAACGAGCCCATGGATTCCAGGGTTACGCCGCTGACGGATGACCCATCGTGTGGTCCTCGCGTTTCACGCCGCCGCCACGTGCCCCCACGGTTTCTGTACTCGGCTGGGCCAATCCACACGCATCCCTGGCGGTACGGTGCGGACAAGGACCTAGACTCCGTTCAGAATTCCACGGCACCTCATCACCCGTTCCTCCTCTTTTCGTTACCATGTGTCTTCTTATTCTTCCTCTTATTACTCGATTGATGTCCCTGCTTCTCCTCCTCCTTCTCTTCGTCGTCCTCCTCCTGCTTCTCCTCCTCGCATTCCTCCTCATCATCCTCCTACCCCCTCCCTTTCCCTTTCCATCCTGAACCGGTGAGCCGGCAGGGACGGGGAGGAGGGTGGCTGGGCTGATCCTGGCTCAGCATCTGATCGAAGATGCGCAGCGCCTCGCTGGCGCCACCGGCCACATCACACGCGGCGATCGCGGTGCTGAAGCTCACAACGTCTGGCCTGAGCCGCCGGCGCACCATGGCCTCCAGCAACCCGGCGGCGCCCCCGGGGTGCCCGTCCCTGGAGCGAGCCTTGATCAGCGAGTTGAACACGACGGTGTCTGGAGAGACCTGCTCGTCGAGCATGCTCTCGAACAGCTTCAGGGCCACCCGTGTCCGGCTGCCCCTTTGGCACGCCGCGATGAGCGCGCCGTAGGTGAAGACGTTGGGCCGGACGCGCCTCTGGCGCGAGGCGTCGAAGAGGCGCAGGGCCCGGAGCGGCTGGCTGCCTCTCGGCGACTCTGGAGGGTGTGGTTTGCACAGGATATGGTTTGCAACCGGCACCCAGGGGGTCACCCTGGAGGGCGGGAAGGGACCTCGACTGAGCTCTTCCCCGCGCCCCGAGGAGGCCCGACGAAGACAGGCCATGCGGGTCTCTCGTGCTCCACATGCCCAAAGCTTGCACCACTTAGGTGGCGATACCTCTCGCGCCGCGTCGCGGTGTCGTGCCCGTCGGGCCCCAACGGCGCCGATCGCAAACCACACCCCAGCGCAACCCTACCCCTTGGTAGTCGCCGAACCTCTGCCGCAGGCGCCCACAAGCGCGCCGCACGTGACCGCGTCCGGGGTGAGAGCCAGCCGCAGCATGTCGTCGTGCAGGCGCAGCGCCCTCTCTGCGTCGCCGGCCCGGTCGCAGGCCCCCAGCAGGGCGTTGTAGGTGATCAGCCCGGGCTCCAGCCGCCGGGAGCGCAGCTCGCGCAGCAGGCGCAGGGCGCCCTCGAGGTCCCCGGCGCGGCCGCACGCGCTGATCAGCGCGTTGTAGGTCACGAGGTCGGGCAGGAGCAGCTGCTCCCGCATCGCCCCTAGGAGCTGCCAGGCCCTCTCGGGGTGCTCCTCGGAGCAGGCACCGCTGACCGCCGCGCTGCAGAGTTGCAGGTCGCACCTCAGCCCATCCGCACGCGCCTGCTGGAAGAGCCGCCAGGCCACCTCGCAGGAACAGCCAGGCTGGTGGTGGAAGGGGTGCCTGATTGCGCCCCCCGCGCATGTCTCCCTCCTTCCGCCACTGCGTGCTCTCGCTCGGGGCAGGGACATATAGTTATATTGTCTTACGTATAAGGAGAGAGAGAGAGAGAGAGAGAAAAAGAGAGAGAGAGAGAGACAGAGACAGAGAGAGAAAGAGAGAAAAAGAGAAAGAGAGAAAAACAGAGAGAGAGAGAGAGAGAAGGAGAGAGGGCGAGAGAGAGAGAGAGAAAAAAGAGAGAGAGAGAGAGAGAGAGAAAAAACGAACAAACAAAACAAAGAGAGAAACGGAGGGGCGGCGCAAGGGAGTGATCGGAAGAGGCCTCCTAAAAATGGCATGCGTGTGAGGCCAGAACGGAAGGGAGAAAGAGGATGGACTTAGACGAGGACGGCGAAAAGGACTGGTGGGGCCCAAAGGAGGAGGGAACCGGGGAAACGGACAGAACGGGAAAGGAGGGAGGGACGAGGGTACCGAGGAAACGGGACAGCGACAGGGGGCCAAGGCCCAGACTTCATGCGGGTTGATTTTCGTTTTGACCGCGGGCCCCAGCAGAGCCCCTGGCCCCTGCCTCGTGGCCACCTGTCCTTCCCAAGACGGTCTCTGATGGCCCCTTTGGCCTGGAGATGGCACCCGCAGTGCCAGAGCTCCGAGGGAAGGCAGGTCCTGGGAAGGAGGAGGGCGGTCGGACTCGGCACTGCTACAATCTGCGCGCCGGTTCGATGGAAGAGCATCACCCTGGGAGCCCAAAAGGGGTCTCGAACAGCCTGCCCCAGATAACCACAGGAGGGGCTGCCACTCATATCACAAGGAGGGGAGGGAACGGGGAGAGAAGTGCAGTTGAGGAGGAGGAGGAGTGGGAGAGGGGAAAAGCCCCTGGGCAAAATTTCTTGA